GGACGTGAAGAAGGGAGCAAGTTGCACGTGGGGAAAAAAACGCGCCTTATTTAAATGTCACACCTGAACGCTCACATCCTTTTAATTATGTTTGAAATTATGAACACTGCTCAACATCATGAAAATTAAACCTTATTTTCAATAAGCAATCCTGAAAAATATTTGGGGGTGCTTAACTTTTTTCCAGGTGTATATTTGAAATGAAAAAAGGCCGTACGAAAAGTTAAAATCAAAGAAAAACTAAAAATATACTATTTTATGTTTTCTACGGGTATTGATTCGAAGCAATTTTTTCCAATTTTCGAGTAATTGTTTGCAGATGTTCGCGCCAAACTTACTGTAGGCTATCTGCGCTAACCAACAAAAATTTTGAAGAGGTAGAACAGAAAGAAGGTAGCAAGACACACCATCCACCGCCAACGTTCTACCAACGAATAGTGTAATTGATTATGACATTATAACGTCCCCAAGGCTGAAAGGGTGGGCATATTAGGAGACGAATATCAATCCAGCGACCCGTCAATTGCGAGTCAAGCTCCAGGCCTTTCAAGTACTGACATGACAGAAATGATTTGTTTGTTTGTAGTTAAGCAAAAAGCTACACATTGGGTTTTCTGAGTTCTGCCCACCACGGGTATCGAAACCCGGTTTCTAGTGTTGTAACTCCACAGACATACTGCTGTGCCATTGGGGGGGGGGGGGGAGCAACCGAGATGGAAAACTCTGGTTAAAAGAATTGAGAAATGATGAAATTATGATAGAAAGCGAATCGCTGAAATTTACAATAAACAACTGGTTTATAATAAGAATTAATATCATACTGAAAGAGTAGTTAAGATGACAAACTCTAAAACAACACATATTTTTTGCTTATAAAGAAAGAAAGTGAAGTATGAAGCGCGTTTTTTGTTGTTCTTTGGTGTTACTGGATATCGACAGCATCTCTATTGTAACGAATATGGTGACATTTGTTAATTAAAAGGCGAACTGTTGGTATAGTTTAAACTATTTTTGTAATCTACTATTACTATACACTAAAAATGAAATAGAAGTTTCTTTGATCGATTTTCCCTTCTGCAACACTAACACCTATTTCTACCAAGGCTTCATAATCTCATTGTTTAGTTGGAAAAATGTCGCCTTTTTAAATTACATATATTCTGAAAATAGAATATAAAATAATGTTGTCACTTCCGGAAATCATGAGTGATGAAATACGACAGTAGAATTTTAAAAAATTGTAATGACATCATGCTCTTAACTATCTTTGTGTTTTTTGTTAGAAAAACAGTGAAAGTCCGAGAGAGGAAGCTAATAAAAAAACTATTCAATGTACAACAAAAATACCAAATACTTTTAACCAGAATTGTGAAAATACCATAGACCATTCTGCTATGTTTTTTCATAATCAAACTAATGTAATTAAAATTTCTGAGGTTAACAATTTCGGTATTCTTAATACATTTCGTAACAGTTATTATAATTGGAATTTCGCCTTGTATGTTTTTTTTCCAGTCATGGTGGGATTAAGAAATTGACTACTAATCAGTATGTTATGGTATCTTAAGATCTATCAGATTTAATCCATTTTTATTACGAAACCAATTATTCTTTTGTTTCTATTGTAAGTGTTATTTCGGCTAGTAAAAATCACAGCCATCTTGAAAGATCCCCTGGTTTATATATCTTTCAGACTTCTGTTGTTGTTTTTTCATTCCATGGTCCCCCCTTTGATCAACAGTTCTATACTAGAGATGGTTTTTTTCAAGTACAATTGTTTCCTCATGGTTAAAAGAAAAAGGCTAAAATAATACGTGAATCGTTAAAATATATCAAAGTCTATGAAGTACATTAGTTTTTGAACAGCTAGTAGGCTAGAAACAAACCTTACATGGCAGATGCTACAATAGACAAGTTTGTGTAGTTGTAATTTCACAGTAGTTTTTGCCAGTCATTTTAGATGTCATGATTTGGAATTTTGCAATAGTATTACAATTGTTTCTATGTTGAGAATATTTTGAAAGCAAAGTGACAAAGTGAATTACAAAAACCATAAAAGAAGTATTAGACTTTCTATACCTGTACCAGTATAGCTAGTGTATTCTATGCCCACTGCAGATTTTTAGAGTTATAAGCTTAACACTGAGCCATCAATGGGTTGCTTTCATGGAAAACATTTCCTTTCATTGCTAATTATATATAAATGTAGATTTAGAGAACGACAAAATGAAATTATTGAAGACAGGTTCAATACTAAAAGAGAGGGAGGAAATGAAAAATATATACATCTTTTTTTTAAACGGTGTTAACACTATAATAATCAAATGTTGGGAACGTAAGAAATAAATGTAAATGTGCTAAATTTGGGTCAACAGAAATAAATTACTAAATTCCAAATTCACTATAAGACGTCTCTTATAAATCATTATTGGTCACATGATAAATCTAGTGTATGTACAATTATTGTTAAATGAGACACTGTATAAGTTTAGTTTCACAAGCAACTAAAAGGTGGCGATTTTTTTTAAGTTTCAGTTATCTATACAAGAAAATATAAAAAAATAATGAAATAAAATAAAAAAACTTCATGTTGTCACCATACTGGGTTTTGTCAACAAAAATCTGACTAGCATAACATCATGTTTTAGTTATTTCAAGCTCTGTAATGTCTTGTAAATAGGGATAAAGTATGAAGTGTACAAAATGTACGTCATTAAATGATTCACTGCACAACATTCAGAATAAATTTCACACCCGTTTTTTTCTCTAATATAATTATTCATTATTTTCTACAGTATATTTTTTGAACATTGCTATTTTTATGCAAGTAATACAAATGATCTTAGCTCAGTTAGCTCTACGTGCTGTAGTAGTTGCATAAAAGTAAATCTAACATTTTTTACTTTACTAAACCTATCATTAGGTTTATATAAAATGTTCATGGGATATTCATAAAAAGAGCTGCAGATCAGTTCAGTAAAACATATAAAATATTATGTTTAAACATTTACACCAACAGCAACATTATGTTAATGAAAACTAAACTATATTTCTTTCCAATAGCGGTTCATTCATAATTACTCGTTTCACACCAAAACGGGTAAGATCAATCGACTCATAACTTCCATCCAATATTAATTCCATAACCGCCCGACCTACTCCTGGTGCCATTTGAATTCCGTGGCCACTAAACCCGGTGGCAAAAAAAATGTTATTGTAATAAGGATGGTGTCCGACTATGGCATTCTGATCCAAAGTGTTGTAGTCATAAAAACCAGCCCATGCACTCAACATCTGAAAGTAAACAAAAAACAACATGCTTCTAATTAATCTTCAGACCAAGCACTAAGTAGTTACATAAATAAAGTTGTCATCACAAAAACTGGGTAATGCAGTATGAACATTGCAGTGTTTCACATTCATACAATAATGTAAGCTTTTTATCTCATTCCATTGTAACTTCTTTACATTAAAACTTTGTACAAAGGTGAACTGACAATAGCAGTGACCATATTCAATATCAGAATAAGTATTCCAGTAGTATCTCATTGAAATATAGAGAAAAATACAATTTTCTGACACTAATTTTAAGTCAACAAAAACAGTGGTGTACATTTACATTTTGTCTGCAATAATAAATAAGTCATTCAGAAAACATTTTTAACCTCAAAGTTAGATATCCCCAAATGAAATTTACTTTAATACATAAAAAAACATGTAACAATGATTAAAAATAAAACCATATATACACAAACACTTCTTAAACAGCCTAAATTAACCTCTCATATTCACAGCACAATATCAATCTGCCTGACCTTTGACCCCATATTTTAACTCCTCCTCAACTTGCATTACTTAAACATTTTGATATGTCATGAAGTACTTTATGAAGATGTTTCTCGGTTAAAAACAAGACTGAAAACTCAAAACTGTATAGTATATGATGGAGAAGTTCTAGCATTCCTTGACTTTTTTCTGTGGTAGATTTTTCTTCTTTTACGATCATTATCTTAAAAAGTCAAAATTTTCATATAGAATCATTATCTACACTATATTCTCTTACAGTTATAGTGGTCACATACACACTAAAAATACTTTTTATAATAATCGTACTTGCATATAAAACACAGGATGTGTATTGGCTTCGGGTTACGGATCTTGCCAGTATTCTTTTATTCAAAATACGACTTTTAAAATTAATTGATTTTTAAATATTTCAGGCCAACTTTTTTCATAATTTATTAATTATGTTTTTAATTTTTAATGGTTGGTTTTTACCCCTAGCCTCAGTTATCAAATCCTTTATAAAGTCATCATATCTGTAAAATCCAGGAAGAGAAGGGGGGGGGGGGGAGAGAAGAAAAACTAAAGTACAGTTTTAATTAATTTATGTTTAAAATCAAAGCAACACCCTTTATAATAAAACAATTGCAAATGTAAAGAAAACTAAACATTTTATGAAAAGACAGAAAGAACTCTGTCTCAATTGGACAATGACCAATATATATAATCTGTCTTAGTTACATAATGACCAACACATACAGTAAAACATCTGTCTTAGTTGCACAATGGCCAACACATACAGTAAAACATCTGTCTTAGTTGTACAATGGTCAACATATATAGTAAAATATCTGTCTTAGTTGCACAATGACCAACACATATAGTAAAACATCTGTCTTAGTTGTACAATGGTCAACATATATAGTAAAATATCTGTCTTAGTTGCACAATGACCAACATATAATAGCAAAATACCTCAGTCCTAGCAGAGCTACATGCTGTCCAACACAAATAGCAAAACATTTGTCTTAGTTGCACCAACACACATTACGAAACATGGTTAATTGCACACTAAACAATACATATGACACATCATTTTTAATTAATTACACAATGACCAACATACATAGAAACACATCTTGTTTACTTACTCAATGATAAACATAAGTAACAAAACATTGTCTTAGTTACACAATAAATAACACACATTGCAGATCATCCTGTTCCTAATTGCACATTTACAGCAATCAAAACAAAACAACCTGTCAACCAAATGATAAAACAAATGTTTCATCAACATATTTTAAACTAGTCATAAGTGAACTGAAACTGTGAAAAGTCTTTATTGGATATCATAAAAGGAAGAATGACTGAATAAATAGGAAGAAAAATAAATATTAATATAATAACCTTTTTATTTTAATCAATATTTTAGGAATTCAAAAAGATTCAGATACAAACCCCATATATTCCACTATGAACTAGTGTGCATACATGCACATGAAAAAAATATATTTACATGGGCAAGTTGTGACTTATAAGAAACAGATTTTAATAGCTATAAAGACTTCACATATTTTAACATTTGAATTTTCATTTCTGGAAGTGTACATATAATTCATTTCAAGCTATATTTATTTCGAAACTTAGCACTGTGTTAGCAAGTTAATACATTTTCATACTTTAATCTTTTCAAAAGCAGGCACCCTTTCTGCAAGTACTGGCCATACAGATTTGTTGAAAAATGTGTAATCCACATCAAGGTCTGTACCATCTGGTTCTTCAGACTGAAATGGAAAAAAATAAAGAAAACTTTGTGAGAAGTCAAGAAACACCGTGATGTGAGGGAATTAAACAACAATAAACAAAATAATATCAAATCTTGTGTGGTATAATGCACATGCTGTCAGAACATGATCATTTGATTGATAACATCACAATCAAACTAATAATCATTTAAATCTTATCTTTCTTTGCTGGACCTATATTATCAGTCTTACTGTTATATAATAATATATAAATTACTGATCAAAAGACCATGTTCCATCAGCACATATAATATATATGCCATAAGACTTGTCTAGTAAGTGACAGATATAAACAGTACTTACTGAAAATTGTTAAGATGATGGGATTAAAATTACCATCAATGAGATGTAATTACCAATCAATAAAACAAATGACAGTTCAAATGTAACCACAGGTGACTACTTTTTATAGTGCATTCGTTACATAGGGAAAAAAAGTAGCCACAAAATCTACTATATTAAACTCTCACACATCTCAAACCAATCTTAGGCAGTCATATAAATACTAATAAACATATACTAGATGTACTTTTGCAAGGTCCCCAAAAGTGTCCTGTTTCTAAAGTAAATAAAACAAAAAATCAAGAGTAACAAATATTTTTATTTCTTGTTTTTGAAGTTCAAATGTCATGCTGTATTGTAGCCTACAGAGTGTATAATTCTTCTCATGATTCATGGCACGCACACGTTTTACTGATGTCACGACAGTACAAGTTGCAACGTTAAACGTTCCTTATGTGAAGTGATTTTAGTGTCTATTGACAGACAAAACACTACTGTATAGTGGTGCAAAAGGTAAAAGATCGATATTAGCTTTATAGGTATACCCACTATTCCTTAAGAAATTGAACTAAGAGTGGTATACATTTTTTGTTCTGTTGTCCTTAAAAGTAGTCTTACTTTAATATTACTTTTCTTGATCATGTGGACAAGATTTTAAAGCTTCTTTGTTCCCTAGTTTATTTTAAAATAGAAATCTAAAACATAACAAGATAACTAAATTAATGGTAATTAGCACATAACAGGATAACTAAACTAATGGTAATCAAGGACATAACAGGATAACTAAATTAATGGTAGTCTAGCACATAGCAAAACCACTAACTTAATAATAATCTACCATGTACAGTCATCACTAAACTAATAATAATCTACCACATACAGTCATCACTAAACTAATAATAATCTACCACAAACAATCATCACTAAACTAATAATAATCTACCACGTACAATCATCACTAAACTAATAATAATCTACCACATGCAGTCATCACTAAACTAATAATAATCTACCACGTACAGTCATCACTAAACTAATAATAATCTACCACGTACAGTCATCACTAAACTAATAATAATCTACCACGTACAGTCATCACTAAACTAATAATAATCTACCACATACAGTCATCACTAAACTAATAATAATCTACCACATACAGTCATCACTAAACTAATAACAATCATCACTAAACTAACAATAATCTACCACAAACAATCATCACTAAACTAATAACAATCTACCATATGCAGTCATCAGTAAAGTAATAATAATCTACCACATACAGTCATCACTAAACTAATAACAATCTACCACATACAGTCATCACTAAACTAATAATAATCTACCACATACAGTCATCTATAAACTAATAATAATCTACCAAATACAATCATCAGTAAACTAATAATAATCTACCATATACAGTCATCACTTAACTAATAATAATCTACTACATACAGTCATCACTAAACTAATAATAATCTACCATATACAATCATCAGTAAACTAATAACAATCTACCACATATATTCATCACTAAACTTATAATAATCTACCACATACAATCATCACTAAACTAATAATAATCTACCATGTACAGTCATCAGTTAACTAATAATAATCTACCACATATAATCAACACTAAACTGTAAAATTCACTTTATGAATTAATTATTGCAAGAGCATAATATATATATATATATATATATATATATATATATATA